AAGAAGACGTAAGAAGATGCTGGATGACCTTGGGGACAGAAGAGGATACTGTCATTTGAAGGAGAAAGCTCTAGATCTCATTAAGTGGAGGAATTGTTTTGAAAGAGACTGTGGACCTGTCGACTTGACAGATTACTGATGATGATGAGCTTCTAAGTGTAGTCTCATGAACGCACACAACCACTGTCTCAGTTAAGTCTTAATTTAGAATTGCGTATTTCGTAATGTATTTCTATTCATGAAAATTCCCATCTTCTAGGGTATATCGTCGTGTAATCCGTTTCGAAGGAACATATCGCCTCCATCTTCAGGATCGAAAATCAGCCGCGCAAGAAACCAGCTAGAATAGGTGGCTAGGCAAAATGAACTCTCAGTCATGATGGTAATTATATAGGGAACAGAGGGTGCGATGGAGGGCTATTGCCCATTCCCCATTGGCTGGCTACTCTTCCTTGCCTATTCATAATTAACAGCATGATAATTTATGTTTTTCACCGGATATTATTATGGTGTTCAACTCAGAGGATGAAATGAGTGTAGCATGTAGCACGCATGGGACGAATGAGAAGTCTATACAATGTTTTGATCGGAAAACCTGAAGTAAAGAGACTAGTTGATAGACCTAGGCGTAGATTGGAAGATGATACTGTATTTTTTTTCCTTTTGCGCTACAGCCCCGATTTGGGCTTTGGCCTACCTCCATGAAACTCTCCGTTTCACTTCGGTTTACTAGATCTTAGCGCATTCGGTAGGTCTCCTTTGGCGGGTGATCATCTCGTCGCAAGGCCTCTACCTGTACACAAACAGAATATCCATACCTTGTGTGGGATTTGAACCCATGATCCCGGCTTCCGAGCGAATGAAGACAGTACATGCTTTAGACCACTCGGCTACTGTGACCGGCAGTGTATAAGAATAATGTATAAGAATTCAGTTAGTACATCACAGGAAACAGATCCGAACCCACGATCCCGGCTTCAGGGCGAACGAAGACAGTACATGCCTTAGACCGCTCGGCTACCGTGACCGGCAGTGTATAAGAATAATGTAACGTGTTTCGTTACTGAATAGGCCGTAGAGATGGTTAATTGGTTTATTTAACAATCTTCAAATAACGGCCAAATCCATACCATCCCTATCGTATTTCCTTAAGATTAATTTTAATATTATCCTCCCACCTACATCTAGGTCTTTCTGCTGGTCTACTTCCTTCTGAATTGCTCGCCATTCCATACGTTAGCAATATACAAGACAGTTTCATACGATCATCTTTCATCAGCACGAGGCTCACAACCACAAGAACTTCAACACGAAACTAACAGCGATAGAGCATTGCGAGAGCCTGCGCCACAGCACGCCATACTGTACAAAGCTATGTTACAACCAATTCAACAGTTTGTATCCATCGGTCATAATTAAAGCATTCTAATAAGTAGGAAATATCACAAAACCCAACACTCGCCAGTATGGGATCACATTCGAAAGATCTCCAATACAAAATCCACAACGATAAAACTCGGCAACAGCCTGCGCTACATCGCGGCATAGCTCAAGTGGTTAGTCGCTGGCTTCCCACCGCGGCAGCCCGGGTTCGATCCCGGGTCTAGTCAAGTGGGATTTATGGTGGACAAAGTGGCGCTGCGGCGGGTTTTATCCGAGTACTTCGGTTTCACCTGCCAGTCCTCATTGCATCAAATTCTCCATCATCATAATCACCCGGGGCAGGTACAATAGTTCAATCAGTGGCCGCCGTGGGGAGTGGACCCAACTGGATTCCACCCCCCACCCCGCCACTAAGCGAATAAAAAAAAACAACGCGGAATAAGTTTACATCACAAGTAATTTAACAGTTTTACGTTCGTCGATTCAAATTTAAAGCATTTTAACTAATAAAAAAATTGTAACCACATTTTATTCAGTTTCAGTCTCACAATGTATGTATAATTCTAGAATATATGCAGTTTCTACAATTACGATAGGTTTCGGACATTATTTCTTGCCTTCATCAGGTTGTGTTCATACAGTAATTTTCAGCTTTCTCTCCTATTTCCTTTCCATTGACCAGTGTTTAGAACTAAAAACCTACATCATAAGCAACAATATGGCTTCCCTCGTTTCTAAACATTGGCCAATGGAGAGCAGAGCGTGAGAGTGATTATATGAATACTACCTGAAGATGGCCACAATTACTGCCCGAAACATGTCGTAATTATAGAAACTGTATAGTTCCCATGCCGGTCACGGGATCCGAGCGGTCTAAAGCATGTGTTTAGGCAGATGCATTGCGACGAGCTGATCACCCGTCCAAGGAGTCCTACCGTCTGTAAAATGTTCACGAAACTGATAATCAGAGGCCAGGGCCCAAGGGGGCTGTAGAGTAAGTGAAAAAGAAAATAGATCTCATAGAATTATACATGTATTGTGAGACTGAAACTAAATAAAACATTCTACAGGCAATATAACGCTAAAATATAATATTACTCATATCCACATATTTGACATGTTAATATTTGATGAGTACAAAGGCATTAATATGTTAATGACAGACAATATAAAATACATCACTGCTGGACAGTAAACTAAATGCTATAGGAACGTTTATGTATATGATCTTACCTTTATTCCCGGGCTGTTTTTTGAGCTCCATAAGCCAGCGTGTGGGCCGCGGGAGACGCGTGGCTCGCATACTCAGCTTGGCCATATCCCGTGCCGCTATATCCAGCAGCGCCCCTATTCCAGCCTCCGCCGCCGTGACTCGAGTACGTGTCATACACCTCGTTGTGTGGGTGCCGGGACCACTGGCCCAGCAGTTTCTGTAAGGCCACAAACGCCGAGATGGCGAGCGAGATCAGGCTGACGAAGATGGCTTTCTTGGCGATAAAGGTTATGGCAAGGGACGCCAAGGCCAAGAAGATGACTGCCTTCAGCTTCAAGCCAATCAGAATCGGTATCAGATTCTTCAGCAATTTCTTCTTGCCGCGAGCTGCAAAATGAAACCAAACGTGTCACTGTGCGAGGGCAAGCCTGGAGAAACTGACCCGAAAAGTGTAGCTTCGTTATATCATCAATCATCATTAATCTTCAGGTTATAAATGCGTTTAGTTCCGTAGGACACAAGGGCTGTATATCCATGACTGAAATTACAACAGGAATTAGAAACAAGAAGTTCTGGCAAGAACTAATCGCCTACTTTCCTTTAATACGGAACGGACCGCATAGAAAACGACACCTCAAACAATTCTTCGTTGCCGCGGGAACGTCTTTACTTTTTTCTTGCCTAACAACGGTAAGGGGATACACAGACACACGTCCAACAATTATTCTATTGTTGAGTGCATTTATTAGCGCGGGAACATGTTTACCGAGCCTTTGTCTAGCAATTTAATATGCGATACACTTTAGTCAGCCTTCGTTTTGAACCAATATGAGGGATACACATACAGAGACACACAGACTAACTATTTTTTTTATTGCTAGTGGGATGGGACTAAGTCCCTTGTACTGCGGCCACTTCTGGCCTATTGTACCAGCCCCAGATGATAGGTGAGGGTGATTGTGGAGCAATTGGTGGAATGAAGATTGGCAGGGGAAACCGAAGGATTCGGAGAAAACCTGACCCAGCGCCACTTTGTCCACCACAAATCCTACTTGACCAGACCTGGGATCGAACCCGAGCCGCCGCAGTGGGAAGCCAGCAACTAACCACTTGAGCTATGGCGCGGCCCAATTAACTAACTAACTAATTACATTGAGCTAACTCCTTCTTGGGAAGCTGCCGGTCTCTCATTTACTCAAGGATTTCCCATCTTATACGAGTACATACGTACATAGTACATATGAAAAAGTAAAGCTAACAGGCCGTGGAGGCCCATAGGGCTGTGAGACGTTGAGGCTCCCACATGTTCTAGACAGTCGGCTCGCAGATGTTGGTGATGTCAGCCTTACGCGCTGGCCGCCCCTTACCCCCAGGAAGATTGGTGGTACTCATTTATGTTAGAGGCTGAGTCAACCCCAGTACCATAGTGCTGCTGAAAGGATTAGATCAATTGAGAAATGCAAGGACCTCATCGCTAATAATTTTCTTTAGCGTCTTCAGTACATCATGCTGTACAGTACTGGGCAAATGTTCATAAACGACCGTATAATTAGTAATACACCTGTGTATACCTTGTTGTATGTACACAATTTGTTTTGTATTGTTCTTTTTATGTATAGTCTTTCCTTGTCTGTATCAGTGTAAGATCTACTGACACCCGGTGAACACCCAGTTGAAGTAAATGATAATAATAATAATTAATAATTCAATTCAGTTCTTTCTTATTTGTGTGCCGAGTCAGCAGCCGCAAAGCCAATTACAGACAGAGCACAGGGTAGATACAAGTAATTACATTATGGACAAACACTACATAAAGTCAAAGGCAAATTACCTGCAAGCACTGAAGGAAAGCACAATAATGCAGACAAGTAAACAAACAAACAAACAACAACAACAACAATAATAATAATAATAATAATAATAATAATAATAATAA